CGAAATTCTATGAAGTGACCATTCAAATGAAAGCTCTCTGCTTGTACTTTCACATGGTGCTATTTGCTTTTCAAAATTTCACAAAATGAAATTTGGAAATTTGGTCGAAATTTGCTTTTGGCTAAATTTGGCAGTGAAAGGGTTAAAAGTGACGTTTTTGCTGCCGTCACCGACGTCGATGCCAAAGCTCCCTAAAATCAGATTCACTACTTTGTATAGATGTTTATGATTTCAGGTCAGATTAGAAAGTGCCCACATCGCCTTTGACTTGCCCTTTGCCACCACTATCCCCTCCCCATAAAAGTTCTTTGATGAGCGTTGCGTGACGGGACAGGGAACGGCTGAGTAGAAGACTTGAAATCCACAGTACTGATCGCTATGGTATCCGCTTAACAGAGGGTTAAGAGGGTTATCCCGTTGAATAAAGTTTCGTTTTCCAGAAAAATTTAGAGAAAACGTTTATGATTTACAGTCGCTAGTGCTCGCTAAATGTGGGGTCTTCTATGACAGGTTTCACTGTGTGTTTGATTTCTTTTTCCTTTTTCAGGATATTTCTCGGTGGGAATTCTTCTATGGCTTGTTCTTTTTGGCCCTGTATTTTTTTTTAAGCATGCAGAGCGTGTCCTTCGTCCAGAATGGTGGCAGTGGTGTAAAGATAAAGCGTTATCAGCGGTGTAAGTAAAATTTGTCAATTGTTTAAGTTTGTTTGGTTCAGCTGCTGCTGCTGCGCCGCACATCTCTAAGGTTAAACACTGCAGCGAATGAATCTTTTGGTGAGTTTTGCTAGGTTTATACTTCACTTTGCGTGCCGTGCACTACAAGCGATCAGTACTTATGTAATCCTAATTTTCATCCTCGGGTGTAAGTCGATGCTGCCCCCTACTTTATTCTCCGGATTGTTTCGCTATGATACGTTGTCAAACCTCCTCTTCTTAGGAGCAACTTATTAATTCATTTAGCGCCTGATTATTGCCAAGTCTGGTCAAGATTGGTTACTATGGTTACATTTAAGTTACTATGACGTCATAGGTGGCGGGAGGTCATGCAATTTGGAAGGGAAGAATCGCCCGGGAGGGTTACTTCTTTATAAGAGGCCAATGGGGACGTGCCGCTGGATGGGGTCGCATTTTCACGACTATATAGATTTAGCCAGGGCTAAAAGCAAAGCTCTTGATAATATTTATAGTTTTTTCAATTAAAATGTAAAATCGTGTAATGCTAAGCGGCGAAGGCAAACGCCGGAAAACGGTGAAAAACAACAATAGGTCTAATTAGCAAAAGCAACTATGCACGTGCAGCAAACTTTTTTTTGTACATTTCTTTGTCGTTCTTTTGCACGACTACAACGTGAAACTTTCAGAAACTTCTTAGTTACACGTTTTATGGAGGAAATGTCGTACGTGTTCCCGTTCACTTTTTTTCACTGCCGCTCATTTTCACCTTGCATTGGTGGCTGCTAGCATTTCTCATTTTGTCACCGCCGCTGCAAAATTTTCATGTTGTTCTTCCAACAAAAAAATGTCTCCTTTGCTTTTTATTTCTCGCTCTAAATCCCTGTCGCCCTTTTTCTCGTTGAGCTTCGCTGGCCTGCTTCGCTGGCCTTTCTCTTTTTCTCTTCCTTTCTCTTGCTCTATATTCCAAATTTGTGGACATGACAATTTATCTAAGCTTAATACTTTAGACAACACGGATACAGAAACAATTTCCGCTTTCCGTTTTCGTCTTTATTGACTCTTTTGTTGTCTCTGCTTTACAAGACGCCGGTGGCTATGCGATTTCCCCCCAAAATAACCTCGAGTTGCATTTGGGTTACCATACCTGTTGATTGAGTTATTTTACATTGGTATGCCTGTGGTGCGGACGGACGGTCTCTCGGGCGGTCGAGTGTACGGTCACGTGATTACCAAATTTTCTCGGATGGGTAGATTACTTCATTTTCTTACCCATGGTGCTCCACTGGCGCGCTTCGCGCGAGAGCTCCGCTATAATGGAGTCGCATTTTCAATAGAGGTACTACAATGGGGTCGCACATTTTCGGAGTTTTGAGGTAAGACAGTTCTTCATATTTCCGGTTGGCAAACGTACCAGAATGTTCGTACTGCAGATGAAAAGTAAAGTGTTCTTCATTGAATCTAAAAAATGAGTCAATTCATAAAAATAGAAAGTGACTAAGTTGGGATCGCGAAAATTACGTATTTGCCCAAAAGTGACTAAGATTGGGTCTATAATTGGCCACAGTATAGACTATAATGGGGTAGTGGCTCTGAGATGCCAGCGGCACATACCCAGCAAAAATTAACCCAAGTACCTGCCCCCCGGAAGAATCTACTTTTTCTCAGTTTTTGTTGCTGTTGTTGTTGCCGAAGAACCCTGACACACTCAAGACAAAGTTGAAGGAAACATCAGTACTCGAGGGATATCTTCTAGAATCGTTGCTTTTAGCTTGAGGCTCCATTTTTTTGTTATTGTGTTCATTCACGGAGGGAAAAACTGGCAGTCGGTTTTTCCCGCGTTCTCTCACGCCACTATGTTGAACACGTGCTGTTGTATCTTGAGCTGGCTACAATTGCCGAATTGTATCACAAACGAGATGCAATTAGATTCAGTCAAGGCCACGTGACCACGAATTAACCAATGACAATCCTTGTTTAGTTGAATAAAAGTCTAAAGCTACAGCAAATTATGTTGTGTAATACTGAACTTTTGGTGGTTTACTGATTTCAGGTCCGCATTTACCATGTCCATTGTCCTCTACCTCTTTGAATTGTTTCTTATCTACTATGTCTTCCGCGACAGAGATTTTCCCAGGATTGTCATCACTGTGGATAACAGGTATTTGCCGTCTTCACTAAGTCTTGTCGTTTGGTTCTTGAACCTTGTAAAAACAGTTCAACCTACCGTAAGTGACTACGCGGCAAAAGGCTGACATTTATCACTCTTTTTGCCTTCCATCCTTTTCTTTTATTTATTTATTTATTTATTTGAATAAATATTTATATGTTCATTTGATTGATTGATTGATTGATTGATTGATTGATTTATATTGCAGACGCTTGTTCTCGATTATGTCATACTTCTTCTTCTTTTTCAACATTCTGGTCGGATTGTTTTCTGGCTTTCTTCGCATCACCTTGGGTATAGTTGTAGGAGTTGTATTCCTGGCTCGTTTAGAACGGTCGACCTTGATGCAGGGATTTCAGAGATTTGACGAAGGCATGTCGAAATCTTTAAAGGGGAAAACTGTACACGGTTTTCCGTAACCATGATAATTTTTATTCTACTTGCATTTAAAATATGAAAAGAGCTAGAAATAACTTACAAAATGCAGTCAGTTCAAGGTGAAGGCGGTTATCGCGGTAGAGACCATACGAAACATTAGATAATATCGATGCCATACGTCCCTATTGTTTGCTCTCCCACTCATCCCTTCTTTATCGCCTGATTTCTCCCTCCTCTCTCATCTTTTCGACACATTATCATCCTCCTCCCTGGGCTGTTCACAGACCCTCTATTTTCCCCTTAAAGATCGTCGAGCGCGCGTATGGAAATAAAAACCGCCGGTGGCCATTACGAGCCGCAAGGTCGATTTTCGTGCACGCACCAGGGATCCTTAATTTCCATGGAGATACCCACAAACTGGACTCAAGTAACTACAGGGCGTTAGTCTTGACACATTTCCTTGCGCACCTCAGGTGTGCACATTAATCGCTTTCTGTCAGTTCATCTGTCAATAAACTCATTTTAGGACAGGACACAAATTTGCGTCAAATATCAGAGCTTGTCTTCTGCGCGCCGAATTTATACCATCGGAGCGAGATATTTTAACTCAGCTATGGTTCTCGTCAAAATCACTTAATGAAAATACTTGAATTCATGGTTGGTGTTAAAAAAGGGTCTTGGTGCAAGTCTTGGAAAAAAAAGAAATATTTTTTTCGTTTCTTAAGCGAAAGGCAAAATCTAGCGCTTTATGAAGGTCGAATTCGAACCCTCCAAAGTAATAATTATTCGGTACGTTACCTGGTAAGTTACATATTGTCGCCGAAATGGTTTCAAAAGTTCAACGTGAAGAGTTCTGGATGTTATTTCGCATTATGTCCGAAGGACAGAAACTGTGTTCGCCGATATAAGGTAAGAGAGACCTTTATTATTTAAAAGGTAGAGGAGCAGCTTGTTATGGCTCTCGCATGCGGAGTTCGAGCACATCGGTGAAGCCGGTTTGACGACACTGAGGAAAACTGAGGAAAATATTTACTTGCCTTTGGTATTGTGTATATCCTCGATCACTATACAATAACGCACAAATATTATAATTCAAAGGGCATTTACAACACGCGGCAAAAGAGCCGTGATCCCGCCAAAATGCTCGAACCATCTAACAGAGTGTAAAAAGGGGGCTGGTAGGCAACACACGACTTTTACTTCGTGCCAAAATGCTGCTTGTTCCAAAAATTGTTTTCTCTGGTGGGTATATTATATTCTGGGTTCTACTCTTTGAATGAGTAAATGTGAATTTTGCCGCTTGTTTCATACTGAGAGGTCATGACACGCATATTGATTTTCTGCGGTTATTGTTTCTGGTCGGCATGATTTGTCCTCTGAGGCAAGAGCACTTTCTTCGACCTCTTTTGAAACGTAAATCTCTTCCTTTTCGGCTAAATAAGAGTTTTAGGTTGTTTAGTCTTCTCGAAAGTGCCTCCTGGATCTGAATAGCTAAAGGCGATATTCTTTTGTCCGTGAATGTGATGGTTTCCTTCAATTTATGTCACGCTGGGCCCAACTCGTTTAGTATTTTCTGCACGATGTTAAATTTTCACCGAAAGTGATTTACAGATCCAAATTTCAAGGAATGGATTATAGGAACGCATTTTGTGAAGAGAGATTTTTTAAGTAAGAAGAACTCGGATCCTTAAATCGATAGTGTTTTAGCTAGCCAATTGCAATTTTCATATCCTGTGTTAGTTAGGATAATTCAGTAGGTTATTCTCTCCTCTCCCTCTTAGCTTACAGGCGGTGCGCCCAAGTTTAAGAGGTGAAGAGAGATTTTTTTCAAGGGTAAAAAACTCGTAGCTTGAATCGATCATGTTTTACTACCTAGCCAATTGCAGTTTTCATGCGCTATGTTAGTTTGGATAATTCAGTGGATTATTCTCTCCTCTCCCTCTTGGCTTCCAGGCGGCGCGCCCAAGTTTAAGAGGTGAAGAGAGTTTTTTAAGGTAAAAAACTCGTAGATTGAATCGTCATGTTTTAGCTAGCTAGCCAATTGCAGTTTTCATGCGCTGTGTTAGTTTAGATAATTCAGTAAATTTTTCTCTGCTCTCCCTCTTAGCTTACAGGCGGCGCGCCCAAGTTTAAGAGGTGAAGAGAGATTTTTTTCAAGGGCAAAAAGCTCGTAGCCTGAATAGACCATGTTTTACTAGCTAGCCAATTGCAGTTTTCATACGCTGTGTTAGTTTGGTTACTCTCTCCTCTCCCTCTTGGCTTACAGGCGGCGCGCCCAAGTTTAAGAGGTGAAGGGAGATTTTCTTAAAGTGAATAGTACATAGCTAAAATCGATCGTGTTTTAGCTAGTAAATGCAGCTTCTTTACATTGCTTTAGTTTGTATAATTCGGTAGATTTTTCTCTCCTCTTCCTAATGGCTTACAGGCAGCGCGCCCATTCTTAAGAAGCTGTGATAAAGTAGTCGTTACAGAGTTGTTGTTTTTGTTCATATTTTGTTTTTGTTAGTGTATATAATCAGTAGATTTTTATTTTCTCTGCCTCTTAAGTCTTTAGCTCTTATGCGATGCGCCCAATCTTACGACAAGTGGTGTTGGTTTCAAAAGCGAAATTTAGTAATTGTGATTTTTTTTTTGATCTACGGTTCTCAGTCTGGATAATATTCAGCGTGATGCCTATGTTTGATGTACACCGGAAACCGGAAAAAAGCTAGTTTTGTCCGCGGGCGGCAATACTTTAATTTCGACAGTTTAAGGTAAAATATTAAGATAATGTCTAAATCATTTGTGAACTGTGATAGTTTTTTTGCGTAAATATCTCTCTTCGATCAAATGTGACAATTAGGCCAGATTTATACTAGCGATGTAAAAATTTCCTCCGTCTATGTTGAAACCGAACAAACCTCGCGGGTATCCGCTTTGGCGGCTGATCTCCCTGAGAGATTATTGAGTTGTTGTTTTCATTGTTTATTCGTCAAGTTCTCAGTTGTAATTATTTTTCGGTAATATTATTCTTATTTATGTTTGTTGAGTGGGTCGGCTAAAATTAAAGACGAAGAGTGAAGCTCCAATGCAGAATTTTTGAAGTCTATTTGATATTATGCTTTCGACAGTGCACGTGAATAGCAACTAGGTTGGGTGTCCACTTAAGATAAACTGGATTAAGTGTCGAAGATGAAAGATTGCTCAATAAAACGAACATTGTTGACAGCTTTAAGATAGGCTCAGGGTCTCTTGATGTAATATAACCCTTGGTTCAAAACAATAGACTTGGCGCCTCGCCCTTCAGAAATATGCGAAGATTGCGACGTTGAACGTCGCAATCCCCCGAAAATCGAGCCTGCGGCTTGTAATGAGCATCAGGGGTACTCCGTGGTTGCTCTAGCACGCCCGCTTCGCTCGCGCACTGTCAGATTGTCGAAAAAAAAAATCGTCTATGGCCAGGCTACTTCCTTCCTAAACCGTTTCGTTCTCTCCGTTCTCAAAAGAGTGTAACTTGTTAACAACGACCGTCAATCCAATCATTCAACAAAGGCCTTGCCATGAGGTTCCAGTCTCCCTCCATCTCACATTTTTATCCTTCTCTTCTACAGCATTTGATGCTTACCTTGGTTTTATCAACCTGCTTGTTGCTCAGAGCCATCCCGTGATGCTTTCGTTTTGTCAGCTACTGATAAACAGGGACAAAGGTCACCAGCCTAATTCGGAATCTCCAGCAGGTGCTCAGTCTGAGAACCGAGATTGTTCAATGGAAACTGGGGGTGCCTCTGGTATGTGCTTGGTTAATCCTGTTAAATCCATCAAATATTTGAAACATCATTTAAACAGTAGAACCCGACATAACGAGATGCGATTAGCGACTGGGGATACAAGCACCTGCGTCATTTCCTGGGCACTTTAAATCAGGGCCCTATTCAACACATTTTATTATAATTGGGGTGTAAAATGGTTACGTTATAGTTCAAGGGTTTGAATTAGGGAGTAAGCAAAGACGTTTTTGAGCGACGCACATCAACCGGAACTGACGCTACGATTTTAAAAAATCTCTCCTTTTTGGTGTATAGGCAGCTAATTCTGTTCTTTTTTTCGTTTGCAGTATATATTCGTGAGCGAAGACTCCCGCGTATGTCTCAAAAAGCATTCAATCGCTGGCATGTGATTGTGACACTGCTTCATAACCCATGTCTTATCAAATATCGTAAGCGGATTGGTATAAGTCGTGCAACTTCCGTTAGCCTCTGGAGTATCCGCTCTGACTTGAGCGACCTGCTGGTGCCTGCTTGACTCTAAGTAGAATTGTTGATTGCGGTGATACGTTTTGTTTTTTTTTCAACCAATTTTTTACTCGTGGTTAGAGACAACTCACTATAAGGAGTCTTTAAATTTGTTTGCTAGTAATAGAAGAAATATATCGTATTATTTCGTGTTCTTTAAATAATCACTTGTAACATTGTTTACTTGCCAGCAACAGGAAAAAGTTAGAGCTCTGGCGTAACTGGCTCAGTAAAAATTTTCTTATTCAGATCTTAAAGGAGCTGCGTCGACGAAACTAATTTTAACCAGATTCAGTCACTGGGAACTGTCCACCAAATTGAGAGAAACATAAAAACTACTCCTCAAAGCAATAGAAAGAAAATATCTCGGAGGCTATTATTTCGATCTGCGTCAATTTCTCACATCATACATCCTTGATGCATAGACTCAACCTCATTTAGTAATTATTAAATATGCTTTTTTATACGCATTTAACAATACAATAGCACAAGGAAACAAAGAAAAAAATTGATCAGTTTAGATTTCTGGGAAACTGCCTATCTACCCCTCCCCTAAGCCATCATTTTGCCTAAAGTGAGAATTAAGTGTTAATATTAGCTTAAGGGAGGGGTACGTGGGCTGTTTCCCAGAAACCTAAATCGATCCATTTTTGGATTAGCCTGCGTAGCAGGCGCTTGAAAGTAGTGGGCGAAAGAGAGAACGGGCGACACGCGTGTCTCCTTCTCGCGCGCCCGTTTTTTCTTGTGCCCACTACTTCCAAGCGCCCGCTACGCAGGTTATTTTTTGATCCAAAATGGATAAGAGTCTCAACGACAGAACATTCTCTGATGGTCACCCCCCCATTTTCTAACCCCACAAATCAGGGCGCAACTTGGACTTGTGATATGAGCTGCGGTGGACTTATACTTGTAAAAGTTACTGAATAGTAGAAGAAAATTAAAATAATCTAATCTGCGACTCACGTCTTAAGCCATTTCTTACCATTCTGTTTTTCCCTTCATTTCCTTCCACATAAGCGCTGATCAACTTTGTTTTATAATTTCTTCAGTTATCTAAATTTCTCATTAAAACCAACACACAATGCACAGAAAACATTTCCGCGAAAACAGCAACACGCTGTTGTAAGCTATTAATAAAAAAATCCACACGCGACGATGGAGGTGATGAACGTTAAATGCCCCAACTGAGTATTTGATAATTTCTCAGGTGGATAGCCGGCACTGAAACATAAAAACATTGAAGCTACTGCAACATTTTCCCCAAGTTTATCGTTTTACCTGATTTTACTACAAAAATACGCCTTTAGCATAAGCGTTAAACTATAAATTTGTCGCCTCATGTAAGGTGATCCAGGACGGCCTTGGATTCTGGAATCCACATTGTGGATTCCGGATTCCACATGCTGGGTTCCAGTATTTTTCAGTAGTTCTTGGATTCTGGATTCTAATCGTTAGTTGGGTTCCGGATTCCTTGGGCTGTATTCCGGATTCCAAAACCCAAGATTCAGGATTCCGTAAGCACAAATTTCCCGAATTCCAGAATGAGGATTCCATTATATGGTGCGAAGAACGGCCTTTGGTTAGCCTTGGCTCCACAATAAAAGAGGGTCTATCTTTGAAAGGTTTCGGATCCTCTCAATAGACCACTTTCGCTATCACAGAGAGACTTTATTTATTCATATCAGGGTGGCCCATTCAGACGCCTTAGGCACTTCCCTGGTAAAAATTAAAATGATAAAACTAATGAAAACTATACAATTATACTAAAATACTCTTTAAAATTAATAAGTTACACTAAAAGTTAATCTTAAAATATGGACTATATACAGTTACAGTATTAAAACATAAATAAAATCTTAAAACATTAAAAAAAAAATCTCATGCTGAGAATCCCGTTTTTACGAAACTTCCCCTACTGGGACTTTTTGAGACTTTTGATATGTTATTGAGGATAGGTGTCTGGGTTAAAAACAGTTGGGATTTTTTCCGATATTTCCTGTTGCAATTATATATTTGCAGGTTAACTTACCATATTCCACAAAATGAGAGGACTAGATTTGGCTACATTACTCATTATTTTAATATCAAACAAAAGCTCTTGTCGAATGAATACTTTAGCACTCCAACGACTAGCATAGATTGCCGTCTAGCGAGTGAGTCGACCGGTTGACTTGGCCAAGTGTTTCTTTTCGAGCTGACTGTTGTTTTTAGGAGAACAGAAACAACGACTGAGTTTAAACTGTTTTAAACGAATCCACTCTCTTTAACTTTTTACAGAACATGCCGCAACATATTCTCTGTTGTAACGTTCGACCTGTCGCGTGACTAAAGGAAAACGTTAAAAAAGTCACAATACCAGACCTTTCTTATTCTATTTTCTTAAAACAGTTCCTTTCTTTTGAAAGACCTTTAAAAATGACTTATGATAATTTTTACTTTGCAAAAAGCTGAAAAAGTTACTTGCAATAAATAATCCTTAATAAGTGTTTGCGTTACTGGATAAAGACACGTGATACTTCGTTCCTAGTCCAGATGCCGTTGCCGCTGCACGCTGCGCGACAGTCAAAACAAAAAGCGAAGAGAGTTTCGCTTCTTTTATCCCCTCTGAGGTTGGTTTGATTGTGAAATCTTCGAAAGTCGCTTTCTCACGAAACGTGTCCGAAGGTTTGGACGAAAAAGGCACCGTGTTCAAATTTGAGAAACCACCTGAACTGAAGATACGGTACTGGCTGTGGTCACACTTGGGATTTCACGTTGGTAAAAGGCTTTAACCGTGGTAAAGAGGATGTAAAAAAACTTTACTATAGTAAAACTCATTAGTTGACTTAACACGTTCCAGATGGTTTCCCAACAGAAATGTGTCACTCAAATGATGAGCCTGAGGACAGGTGATAATTCTTACGACGTTCCATGAATGTTTTATTTTTTATCCAGTTTACCTGACCGTCTGTACATCATATCAAATCATACATTCACTGAAAATTGTGCCGCTGCTTATACTGTTTTGTTTCTATCCCATTATTTTCTGGGCCAAACATAAGCGGTCGATGCTGAATTACTTCGCGGCCGTGATCATCTGAAAAACCGCCTGGTGGGATTACGAAACGATTGAGGAACGGTGGAACTCTAGAGTGAAAAGAACATGAAGGTTTCTTAAAAAAAGCGTGCCAACCAAAATCCATATTCAGACAATAGATAGAAAAAATGTGGCTACACGGAATAAAAAAACACTTGAATTGAATGATTTACTTCTAAATTTATGCTCGATTCAGAAATGAAACACGAACATTAGATGTAGGCGTATGATTCCTTGAAATCCAGAATTTACTGTGGACTTGCCTCGAATGAAAGCGAAAATTGTCTGAGTCACTGTGTCATCTCTACTGTACTGTTTGGCACGAAAAAAAGGAAAAGAATAGGCTGGCGGCGCTAAAAATACATGTATAAGTATTCAGCAACGTGACACTCAGGGAACGCATCTCAAATAATGCGACTAGATGTCAACTGAATAAACAAAGTTTAGATATACCAGCGATAAACCATATCGTTTTAGGAAAGTTTACTATAGTAAACTTTGCTTTCATTCTACCGCCGTTGCCACCGCAACAGACTAGATCTGTGTTTACCATAGTAAAATGAGAAAAGCCGGTCACATTAGAAAACGTGTTTACAGTAGTAAACTCGACTTTACTATAGTAAAAAAAGCCCAAGTGTGACCACAGCCACTATCAGTAAAGAAATGGCCACGGGCGCCTCAGCAAATAATTCATCCAACACAACCGTAACGTAAGTGTAAATAGTTTACAGTTTATTTTGAATTTCAATGGTGTTTAAAGGGTACAGCATTTTGTCTCATTTTTCTTTCTTATCTAGCTGATAAAGGTGGTTAAAACCTCGATTCTTGTAGAGATTTTAATTCGAGGTGAATTAAAATCCCCCGCCGGCAATTTAATGGTTTAACGCATCACTGCCTTGGTCTAAAGACTACATTGCCTTATAAAGTTTTAATATTCAACGAAACACGAGCGTGTGTGTTTTTATGGCGCTTTTTTGGGGTCAAGATTAAGTGATACATTTTACATGGCGAAATAAGATACGCATGCATTTTACATGGCGAATTAAGTAACGCATGCATTTTACATGGCGAAATAAGTGACACACATTTTACATGGCGAAATAAGTAACGCATACATTTTACATGGTGAAATATGCAAGGCTTGATACATCTGCACGACGTATGAAAACTTGACAGCAGCCGACATTTTACTTGGTTATGAAATAAAAGTTACCTTAAATATTATTAGTATCGCATTTTAAATACACGAGAGTCGTATTCATTTTTAATCAATGGCGAAGAATCCGATGAACTATCGTTTTTGAATCGGAGAAATACTACTGTCTGATGGGGGTGTCTAGTAAACTCAGGCCTGGAAAACTCAGACCTCAGACCTCGGACTGCAAAACTCATCTCTCCTCCTCACCACCCCTCGTGTTACGCGTCCGTCAGAAGAAGAAAGTAGCGTGGTAAGCTACTGAGTCGCCTCCTCTCGTTAAGGTGGAAGGTGATATGCTCAGGGAATGCGCTTAGTGTTTAATGCAAGCTGCCGAGCAAATACAAATAGGACAGAATTCTCTAATAGCCAGAAATAATACGAGGGCAAGGCGAGAAAGTTAACCGACTCAGACTGCGAGTGGCCCAGAAAGTCTCGATAGCACGTCACCAAGGTCTGCTCTCTCTGCTGCTGAAAGAAGTGCAGGAGACCTTGAAAGGGCGTCAGAATACGGCTGGTCCAGTCTGGGAGGAGCACAGGAGAATATCTGGTTATAGGCCGTCGTCTGGGGCATCGCGGAGCCGGCCGAGTAGTGGAAACAGCAGAGGGAGAGGAAGAAGGCAGCCAGCAGCATTCTCGCCATATTTCCATCGCAAGAACTCGTGGACAAGAGCGTTCGTCTGTCTGGCTTTCAGCGAGCAAAATGCGCTTCCTTCCACAAGCGAAAGAATCACCCTTA